TATAAAAATCTTATTTGTAACCTGTAGCATTTAACCTTTATTTGCATCTGTTAAATATGGGGTTGTTAATCTGTTAACGTATCTGTACACACATTTTTGCAACTACTTGAAGCGAAAGATAACAAGTATAGAAATCAACACCAATAACGATATTATCCAGATACTCAAAATAAAGTTTGAGGATGTGCCACTATGTATGATTCCACCAGTAAGGGATGCTTCTTGTTCAGTAAAGATAATTACAGAAATCTCGTTTAAATACTTAGTTGAAGCGAGGCAGGCGCTGACCAAATCATCGGCCAATTTAAAGGCATAATTCACGCATGTAATGCGACTGTTTGCGAGTTTAATCATTACCGGTACCCCAGATGATAGCACGCATCTATATGTAAGGGAAGTGAGAATATCCAGTGCAAAACATTTCGCAAACTTTTTGTTGCGAAAGACAATCAAATATATTTGTGGCTTAACATCACTTTGGAACACGCTGTAAGGATCGCCATCCTCCAACATATAGCCGCTATATTCGTTTTGAAGGTCTTCTGGAAAGTCACCAGAGCAAATCTGACTCCATTCTGGAGTAAAGATATCGGTACAACCCTGCGGAGGTTTCGGACTGGAAAAATTTTTTTTGTGTTGCATATTTAAAATTTGGTAAAACTAAAATTCTGAATTAGAATTACGTAACCTAGCATTCTATGGTTTTTCATGCCTACAATAGTATAAAAACATATTTAAAAGTTCAACTGTTCGAATTAACGAATAAATGTTTGAGTAAGCCTAACATATTAGGTGATCATCACACATAATTAAAAAAAAAACTTTGCAAAATATAGAAAGGAATGGAAATGACAATGATTTCACACAATATCAAGATGACCTTTATTTCGACCAGCCACTGTGAACAAAACGATTCGCCAAAACAAAAAAAAACAAAAAAAAAACAAAACAAAAAAGAAGCTCTTCAAATAGAAATTGGAAATTTATAGAAACCCGATTGATGGGTTGATTAACATTTGTTTACAAACGTCTTTGTGTACGTGTGACTACCTATATGAACGTGATAAACAAAAACGAACAAAGCGTAGTTGAATATATTATACACAAAAAATACAAAGTGGTAGACACAGTGATTCCCCAAATTTGCCACCAAGCGAAAACCTTAACCCTCAACCGGTTTCCAAAGGGGGGCCTACATCAATTAATTAATAAGAATGAAATTTGAAATGCGAACACACTCATGATCCCGTCCACAGATCCAGTTCTGCCGGCAATCAGACTAACTTTTAGTATAAAAAAGGCCACATCTGAAGTGGACACGCACATTTCAAAGTAGATACGATTTGAGATCAGAGCATAAAATGCGAGCTGCTATTGTTTTCATTGTTGCGATATTCGCGCTCTTCAGCGTGATCCAGGCACTGCCACAGTTTGGATATGGTGGCTATGGAGGCGGCTATCCTGGCTTTGGAGGCGGATACGGCGGCTTGGGCGGCTATGGCGGCTATCCCGGTGGCTTTGGCGGTGGCCTTGGCGGTTTCCCCGGCGGCTATGGTGGATATCGCGGCGGCGGCGGAGGCAGTGCCAGTGCATCCGCTTCAGCGTCGGCTTCAGGTGGTGGTGGTGGCTTCTATGGCCGCTAGGAACCATTAGTTAACTCCAATTCGTAGTCATAAATTTAAGTTGCTAAATAAAGTGAATGTTAGAGTAAAATTACTGCTGCTGCCAGACGCTATTTTGTTATATACCCTGAGTCCATTGAAATAGATTAAAAGGGGAATATTGATTTTGTGAAATGGAATGCAGCAATAAGCAGGCTTTGCCGACATCATTATATATATTCTGAAAGCTATCATCAATTTACCTCACATATCTACACAACCGTGAGTCACATGTCAACAAGGGTATTTAAACTTCGACGTGCCAAAGATAGCTGTTATTTTTGCTTTCTTTTGTTTTAGACATTTTTGCGGCTGTCTGGCGCAAGTTTTTACTACTTGGATGCTTTCTTTTGGGCACTGGCACTGCTGGTGTGGCATGGAATGGAATTCCATCATAAGTTGGTGTCAAGTTTTGCACTTGAAAACAAAACAGTCGCCTCTGTGCGTATATGAGTGTGTGTGTGAGAGTTGAGGTGCATTTAGTAAGGAACTTTTCATGAACAATCCACAAACATTTTAAAGCGGAAAAAATAAAAGTTTTGCTGCAGCGGCTGCTGGCCAAAATGAACTTTCACTTTGCTCCCACAGCCCCAACAGAGTTGACACACATTTTTTAACCCAAATGGGAGCCAACAGCATCAGAACAAACACAAGCACAAGGCAGCTCTGTGAACGCTTGCCGGATACAGCGTTATCCTTGCTGCAATGCCCCATCCACTCATGGGTTGCTTTTGTTAGGTTCGTGTGTTTTTGGCCAGGCTCCAACTAAGCATGTAATATGGCAAATATATTTGTAATTTCTTAAATATTTTTCCTGCTTTTTGGTAGCGCCTACAAATGTCCGCGAGCATTTGGAACAGTTGAGTGGACTCAACTTGTTGTGTCTTATAAACTTATTCAGAGCTAAAAGTTTTCGTCGAAACAGCAGGCAAGTTGGTTCAACGACTGCTGTTGCATCATTAAAACTTTTGGCCTGTCATCTTTTATTGCATTGCCGGCCCAAAGTTTGTCCGTGTCCAGGACTCACATACGCAGCATTCATGATGCTCCTGCCATATTGTTATTTTGGAATTTATGCGCAGGACAACGACAAGGACGACAAAATGCAAGTCAAGCCATTCAAAATGCTCTTACGTTCGACTCCACGTTGCACTGATGACCGCACCCGGTCACGGCTTGGCCACCAGCTGTGTGCCATTCAAAATGTCGCGGCGTTACCATTGAGGTCCGTCCAGGTCGGCCATTGTGCCGGCTCGCATTCTTGGCTTCTGCATTCAAGTGGCACCAGCTCCACTTCGCCTTTCAAATTCGTAATATAATAACGCGCTTATGTCCTTTCAGCATTTTATGATGCCTGGCTGTCGTGCTATCTGCGAGCCCGCCAATAAGAAACCCAGACTAATGACGACTGCCTGGCCAGCGCCTGTCTGTTATGTATGGGACAAATGGAATGGCCTCGAGCTGTACGCACAAAGATGGGAGAGACCCGTCGAAGTTTTAATATTCTCGCAGAGTTTGCCTACGATATATTGAAAATTGTGAATGTTTTCTATAAGTAATAATATTTAATAATAATGTCTAGGACACAAACAACTTTCTTTTATGCAAGATTATTCAACCGATCATTACGGTTCAAAAAGACGGACAGAGACACGGCTATATCGAATCAGTTGTTGACACTAATTAAGAATTTATATGTATGATGTGTTTATCTGTACATTACACATCGCACGACAAATTTATAATACCCGCCACAAAGGTATTAACATTTTACAAAGTACAACGATTTTTTGCAACAAAGATAGACAGAGCCTCTAAAATTTTGTAAAGACGTGGTTATGATCAGAGCTGGCTCAATTTTAGGCCGATTCAGTTTGGGCTCAATATTTATGCGACATGTACGCATTTGTCTGTCAACGCACGTCAGAGACATCAATTTTTGGGATTGATAAGATGTTGGTTTTTTATTTTTGAATTACTGCCAATGCATGGGGCGACAAGCAAAGGGTGGATCCACCAGAGGGTGCAGTCCTACAAGCAGTTCGCCTAAAATATGTCAATCGAAATGTAAATCAGTGCGTAATTTACATTTTGAGCATTTGCTTCAATTGAATGACGATGCTGACTTTATTGTTGTTGTTGTTGTTGTTTCTGCTGCTGGCAACACGTGAATTATGGCGGCAATTTTGACAATTGCCAAGCTCCGGGCCACGCCTACCACCCAACAGCACCGCATCCGGTACTTGGACGTGTGTGTATATGTGTGCGAGTGCGTATGCATTGTGTAACTTGAGCCCTCTTCACGTGCACATAAATCGTTGCCCTTGTTATCCAACATAATTGTGTTGACATGTGAATGCTAATTTAAATGGATTTTAGTAGATTTTCAATCCGATTCCATCTGTTAAGTAACTACTTACTTAAAAGGAACACAAACTAGTTCCACAACTATGCTAACCTCATAGTACAGCCCAGAAAAACTAAGCGAAACTAAGCGTTCAATTAACTGGAGAATAACGTAGGGAACGTGTCCCAAAGATGAACTAAGCATCACAATAAGCTCTAACAAAAAGAGACAAGCCTTAAAGTCCAGTCTGAAAAAACATTTATACAAACATGAAGAGCTAATTCCAAAAATGCTAAAGTACAAAAAACAACTTAGATTTCAATTTAAAAGTTTGTCTGCTAAGAAGAGTTAAAAAGTCCATGTAATGTAATTTGGACACGTTCGATAACGAAAGGAATTAGATTTGCATGCAGCGCTTTGTAAAAATGAATTTGTTGCGGAAATTATGTTGTGATTTATTTTATTTCATTTTATTTATGCCACACCGTTGCTCACCTGCGTCTCAGCCAAAAACGAACAGTAAAATATATACAAAAATGTATAAATAGTATGTACATAGGTTTGGGTGTGTGTATGTATAACATAACTTTTCTCACGTACATGCTGAGCAGATGTGCATACGCCAAAAAGTATGCAACAGCAAAACGTGATTTCGTTTTAAATTTTCAACGCTTTGCTGCTGTCAAAGGAAAATTTATTTGCGAAACGCATTCATTTGGAAATTATCGAGCAGGAAATTATTGGCTCCTACACCACCCCGATACCCTATATTGTTTTTGTTGTAGTGCCTGATGCTAAAAAATAAAAAAAATATTGTAAATATCGCAGCAAAGCAAAACGTGAGCGTGAAATTTCCACAATAGCAATATTCTTACCGTTTTTCTTAATTCACTTGTGTGCGGAAAAACTATTAATGGGCGTTTAGAGAGCCAAATGGCAATGGAGAGCAAGTGAATATTACTAAGGGCATTTCATTTCACCACAAAAGAATTGAGAGTTATTTTTTGTTTAACAAAAAATAAATGCTTAAATAGCGTTATAATCCTTAATATGTGAGTAAGAGCGCACTCAACATTTATTTTAATAGACAACTGCTCTAAAGCTTATAACTGTCCCTCATTACCAGATGAAATTGCAGCAAGAGTATTGAATAGCCCACAATGGCGCCCAGCATTTGGAACCAGAATTTCCTGTTCGCATTATAGAGGCCACAAGCCGAAAAACTTATCCTCGAAGTACTTGCATAGAGTAAATAGACATTCAGCTGAAACAATACACAGTTAATTAATATAAAACACACATTGGATAAGCCTTTTCAGCCACCTCCTGAAACCAATAGCCTTCACTCACGGCATCATGAGGAGAGCTCTGGTACTTAATAGCCAGATCGCACATGTCATCCAATAGGAAAAAGTCAATCAGACGTATCCAAAAGTTGAATGTGCCATAAACGAGCAGATACAATGGGGCATCAATGCCAAAGTAGAAGAGCATACCCCAATACCAATTGAATGCGCTAGAGATGAAATTGTAGAAGCGCGCTGCTATCATCATCAATCCGTAGATCCTGTTCAGACACAGAGTGCAGCGTCCCAGCAAAGCGTGCAGAGCCCACAGCCTATGTAACTCGGCCAGGTGAACGCTAGTTGGCTTTCTCGCATGCGCTGATCGAATTATTTCCATCAGTTGAATATTTATATACTGATAGCAACATGTTAAGCTCCACAGAGCCTGAAAATATCGTTGGGTGGCAATAACTGGAATATTCATGGCATTGCCATAAAGAAAGCTGCCTATTAAAGCCTTCCACCTTGTCTCATGGGGCAGCATTAAAGTCATCACCCAGCCGGACAAACATTGGTACAGCACTGCTCCATATTTCAGGTAAAAAATGTAACTCAGAGAGCGTCCAATATATTTGCGTTGATCAAAGCCATGTCGTTCCACCTTAGCGACAATACGCTCCACATCCACCAAAACGCTGTCCCGTCTGCCACGCGATAATACAGTATAGACTATGGTAACATAGATAACCGCGTTCAGTATATAGCTGGTGGATGTAATAAAATTCGGCCACCAGCTGACCAACTCAAGGTATCGTGCTGCCATCCAGAATACCAGTGGCAATGTTAAAATCTCAAAAGTATTCATAAACAGGGCATAGCGACGTGTTAGCCAGGTCTGGCGGAATCTGCCGGCCACCAACCTGTACGAGGTAACGCCCAGGAGTAGAGCGTAATTGTGATACCACTGCAGAAGTCGCTTTCGATCCATCTCGCACGGGCTGCAGCTCAGAACTGAGTATGGTTTTCCTTGATTTTGTTACCCTTCCGTACGATTAATTACCTAATGTGCTGCTATCGATGCCTTTAGCACGTTATGAATATCCCAAGCCAATTATAATATTTTGTATTCACAAATTTATTGTTTACTTTTCGCTTTTATATTGAAAGAGACTAAAAAGAGATAGAGTATGCCTAATACCTTATCGGCCTTATCAACATTTGCACACATTTTAATGACGCTATGTGACTCGTAAAGTCCCGACAATTGATACTTTTTACATACGTGCTGTCATTATATACGCCCATCAGATTGCTGTCAAATATACACATATCTTTAAATAATTAATTAAATACTATCGCTGATCCATAAAGCGTCGCAGATGCATAGTCACTATATAATTAATGGATTGTATTTTAAATTAGTTCGGTTGTAGCTTATATATATTATATTTATATAGTCAAAGCTCTTACGGCTGAGCGTCCGTCAATAGAAATAATAACTGACCTTACATGGCACTTGTACCACCTTGTACCACCAGCCACCTGTGAACTTTTCAGCACAGTATTCTGCATGCTGATCGTTATTAATGTCCAATGTTTTTATTTTATAGGCTTTCTTTTAGTTGTCTATAACAAGCCAATCATACTTGGCAAGTCTGTGTTGTCCCTTGAAGTCCTCCATTGCTATGAGTGATTTCTGTTCCACAACTTTGGTCATGAAATGCAGTTTTTCGAACCGTATACAAAACTCGCCAATAGCATTGCCAAATCCATTTTTAAAATCTTTCGAAAACTGAGAGAAATCAACGCTGCCATCCTCACGCCTCAAGACCGTTGCCCATGCTCCGCCATGAGTCTCCTTATCGCATCTAACTATAAACGGATGCCAGCCAGGTACGAGAATCTGATAAACGTCACTCCGACGACTCAAAGCCGCCGCCTGTGCACAGCTGCCGGGGAACTGTGTTGGCTCCTTGACTCATTTGTTCCATTCTGTGTGATTTTGGGATTTGAAAAACGAACCGTTTTCAAAAGCTCCCCTTAACATTTCCAGCTGTAAGTACTGCAATGCAATGCTTCTTCGATTAAATTGCCATATTTGACTGTGTAGTTTTCCACATTCTCATCTTCACATTTGAGCACAAAAATATTGTGCAAGTTATTTTCAGCAACATTTTGCGCAATGAACACCAATATGTATTTAAAATCAGCACAGATCGCATAAGACTAAAGAAACTAAGTGCTGAGTGAATGAATTTAAATATGGCTAAAGCTTTACCAAACAAGTGCTGATAAGGAAAATATATATACCCGAGTCAAAATTCGCTGATGTTTATTTAAAATATGTCGTTATCATCCTCCCAGAATGCACACACATGTGTATAATACATATAATAGTTTTAGAAATTCTATATTTATTTAAGCACACTACTTTATCAGTTTTATATGTGTATATGTCATCTTATATGCCTTATCATCATTTGTACATTTTTCAATGAGGCGTTATGGCCAGAAAATAGAAGCCAATTTATGCCTTTTCCATATGTGGACTCATTATATTTTCCCATTAGATTACTGAAAAAATATGAATAAGTATGCTTATTTTTGGATATCAAGGATATACCAACCTTGCGTGACATTTGTTGTACCACCAGCCGCCTGTATATATTTCAGCACAGTTGCCTTCATATTGATCGTTATCCTTATCGCGTGCTGAAAACTTGTTTCCTAGATGTCCACTTAAGGAATCTCCAGCATCTCCGGAGTATTCGCCCAATGTATTCAAAGCATAGAAATTTGTTTCACTTTCGATCGCAAATCGCTCATATTTTGCAAACTTCTTTTGGCCGGCAAAGTCTTCCATGGCAATGAGTAGTTCTTGGTTCAGATCTTTGGTCATAGCATACAGCTTATCCAAACCAATAAAGAACTCGCCATTGACGTTTCCAAAACCATGTTTATAGTCATTCCAATGGCGAAAGAAATTAACACTTCCATCCTCACGCCGCAAAATAACAGTCCAGCCGCCATTCTGTGTATCCTCATTACAACTCACCAAAAACGGAAGCACACTATAGGCTGGTATGACAATCTGATAAACACCACTACGCCGACTAAGTGCTGCTGCCTCCGCACAATTCCCCGGGAACTGAGCTGGCTGCAAATTGCTTAATACCAATCTGTCAATTTTCGCCGTAAGCTCAGCGAATAGTTTGGACTGTTCAAGTCTAAAAATATAAACTATTTTATGGATATTACATAAAATATCAACCTGGAATACTTACTGCAATGCTTCGATCTTTGAGTGCAGCAACTTGCTGCTAGGGTCTATTATTTGAAAATGTATTTCCGCCGTATTTCCATACTTGATTGTTAAGTTGCCCAGTTTTCCAAGATTGTGTACATTATTCTCTTCACACCTATACACTGATACGTGTACTACAAATATTATGCAAATAATTTTAAGCAGCATTTTAGCAATAACGATTGATTAGTGAATCTCTCAAAACTGAAAAAATGTGCTATAAGCGAGCTTATTATAACAAAAATTGAAGCTTATCAGCATACTTATTTCTTTGCTCAGCAAAGTCCCCGTTGATTATATGTAAGTATTTTTAAATATGAATATGTTCAGTACTTGTTGTTAATTTGTCCAATACAAACAGATTAATATTTTATGAGCATTTCAATACTTGTCAATCCCTTTAACAGGTAACGCAGCCACCTGGCACACCCTTTATCTCACAAATAATGTTAAATAAATTATTTTACCTGAAATTTGTATAAAAGAACAGACCTTTGCCTACTAACATCATTCGTTCTTGGAAATCCGAACTGTCAACATTTCTTATCCAATGGAAAGTCCACTGACATTTATACAGATCGATGTGGGCTTTATTATAGTGCTTTTTCTGGGGCTTACGGTTCTGGACTATCTAATTGATCTTTGGCCAGCTTACAATATTGGGTTGAACAATAAAACGCCAACTTCTGTGACCATTGTCAATTGTAGCAGTAAATACTATACCGTTCCAAGGATGTCAAGCTGGAACTGTATAGGCAAGGATATGTGCTACGGCCGTGAACCGCAGACGCCTATGAAATATCTTAACTCAGAGCAGCGTGTGAAGCTTATATCGGGAGTTCGACGGAGACTTGATCATCAATTTTAAAGTACTCAATTTTCAGATGTATCCTTTAGAATCGTTGCAATAAAATACATTTTAAATGTTGAAGATTATATACTTTATTTATAGACGACTTATGATTTTTAACAAGAGAATAATTGCACATTATTTCTTATTACAAAATTTAACGGTTTCTTGTCGTACAATCAGCTTGGCATAGCTCGACACATATCGATATATCGATATATGTGAGACTTAACAGCACATGTTAACCTTAACATTTTTGTTGTTATAGTAAACTGTTTTAGATGGAAATGTGACCTGTGGCGGGATTGTACGCAGCTAAACCGTGTGTGTTTATTTTCAAAACAATATATGCATATATGCAAATATAGTATCGATGAAACATTCTTTTTCGATGCAGAAAATCCTTCGTTTGACATTGCAGCACACACGACTAATGGCCAGCTTTTCGCAAGTAATCAACCCGATGACGGGCCAAAACACATGGCAAGAGCGTGGCGATGACTACGACTACCATCAGGAGGTGGCAAATGCCGGCTTTGGTGACATGCTGCACGACTGGGAACGCAACCAGAAGTACTATGCGGCATTGCGGAAGACAATCGCAGCTATGCGCAAGGCGGGTAAAGAAGTCCATGCGCTGGACATTGGCACCGGCACTGGCATATTAGCCATGATGGCGCTGCGGGCTGGCGCCGATACTGTGACAGCCTGTGAGGCCTTCATGCCGATGGCGAACTGCGCGGCTCGCATTCTGGCTGCGAATGATGCCGCACAGGTGAGGCTCATACGCAAACGCTCGACGGACATTCAAATGGGCATCGATATGCCGCACAGAGCCAATTTGCTGGTGGCCGAGCTGCTGGACACTGAATTGATTGGCGAGGGTGCAATTAGCATTTACAATCATGCGCACCAGGAACTTCTCACCGATGATGCCCTGTGCATACCCGCACGTGCCACCTGCTATGCTCAGGTGGCTCAATCGCCGCTGGCGACGCAATGGAACAGTTTAAAGGTTCTGCCCAGTCTGGATGGCGACATTTTGCTGCGCCCACCAGCGCAACTGATGGAGTGCAGCGGCGAGGCCGCTCTGCACGATGTGCAGCTCTCCCAGCTCCCACCCAATTCATTTCACACTCTTACAGAGCCCGCACAGATCTTCCAGTTTGACTTTCAGCGCAAGCAGCCGCGCGAACAACAGCGGGAGCATGTGCTACGACTGCAGCTAAGCAAGCCGGGCAGCGTTGAGCTAGTCTTCTACTGGTGGCAAATCGAGCTGGACGATGCCGGCGAGCAGCTGCTAAGCTGTGCACCCTATTGGGCCCATCCGGAGCTGCAGCAACTGCAGAAAAGTTTTAAAGATGCAGATCGGCCGCTGCCCAATATTGTGCCCTGGCGGGATCACTGGATGCAGGCCATATACTACATACCCAAACCGCTGCAGCTGCATCAGGCTGGGGAACAGTTTTGGCTAAGATGCTACCATGACGAGTATTCGCTGTGGTTTGACGCACACAAAGAACAGCCCGAGCAGCCGGCGCGACGTCATAGCTGCAGCTGTGATCTGCACCTGACCTACACTCGCAATCGCATCGGCCAGCTTAATCAGGGCACTAGAAACAAGCGATACCTGGCCTACCTGGAGCAGGCGGTGCAGCAGGCAAAACCTGCGCACGTACTGGTCATAGGAGACGGCTGCCTGCTCGGACTTGCCAGCTCTGCTTTGGGTGCCTGCAGTGTGCGTTGCCTGGAACCCCATCGTTTCTCGCGCCGCCTGCTTGAATCAGTTGCCAAGCACAATAAATTGAAGAACGTCCGATTTTTGGAGAGCCTGCAACAGCTGGAGCCTGAGGAACTAAACACCCTAACACACATATTTG